ATGTAAGCTTTTACATGCAGAATGGATAAACAATGAGGTCCTACTGCATAGTACAAAGAACTATATTCAGGATCCTATGACAAACCGTAATGGAAAAGAAGATGCAACAAAAGAAGGTATATGTGTATATAGCTGAATCATTTTGCTGTAAAGCAAGAATTACTACAACATGGCAAATCAACTATACTTCAATTTAAAAAATAAATTAAAAAGAGAACATTGACGTGTGCAGCCTCGATTGGATGGTCTAGGCCAGGGGGGCTCCAACCTCCGGGCCACTGACCAGTTTCAGTCTGTGGCCTGTTAGGAACCAGAGTGTACAGCGGGAGGTGAGCGGCGGGAGACGGAGCAAAGCTGCATCTGTATTTACAGCTGCTTCTCATCACTGACATTACTGCCTGAGCTCCGCCTCCTGTCAGATCAGAGGGGCCCGAAGCATCGTGAAACCATCCCCCTGCCGCGGTCTGTGGAAACATTGTCTTCCGTGAAACTGGACACTGATGTCACTGCGTAGGCAGAGCGTGTGCATGCTGAGTCACTCAGTCGTGTCTGACTCTCTGCCATTCCATGGACTGTGGCCCGCCAGGCTCCTCTGTCCATGGAATTTTCCAGGAAAGAATACTGGAGTGGGGTGCCATTTCCTACTCCGGGAGATCTTCCAGATCCAGGAATCGAACCCGCGTCTCTTGAGTCTCTGGCATTAGCAGGTGAATCCTTTACCACTGAGCCACTTAGGAAGCCACAGGGTCAGTGGCTAACCAATAGCTCAAAGCTGGGCAGATGTATTCCTCCCCACAGAAGAACACAGGGCCGCATATGAATTCTTGCCAAAAAAGGGAAAACAAACCTACCTCTGATCAACTGCTAAATTTACTTAATTTACAGGGAGTACAAGGGGCGGAAGGCTATGTTGCACTATACCAAACAGGCGCAATCAGCAAAAACCCCAACTGTGGGAGACTTACAGGACCTGTGACCCAGTTTCCTCCATAAATAGCAAGGGGGAAATAAAGGCAAGCAGGACATCTTACAGAGAGAGAGAGAGGCTTAAACGACTCGCCCACCAGTTGTAACGAGTGAGCCTTATCCAGATCCCGACAAAACAAATTGGAAATAAAGGTATTTACCACATTTGCGGGATGACTAGAAATGTGAACACTGGACATTTGATGAGATTAAACAATTGTTCAATGTTAAAAAAAAAAGAGTTCTTATCTTTTAAACTAAGAAATACATTGAAATACATATGGCTTTATGGTTATGCAGGGAAGGGGGGGGATAAATTGGGATTGACATATACACACTGCTATACATAAAACAGATAATTAATAAGGACCTACTGTGTAGCATAGGGAACTCTACTCAATACTCTGTGATGACTTACATGGGAAAAGAATCTAAGATAGAGTGGATGTAGCTATATGTATAACTCATTCACTTTGCTGTCCAGTAGAAACTAACACAACACTGTAAATCAACTATATGCCAATAAAAAATTTTTTTAAGAAGAAATACTTAGGGGACGTCCCTGGTGGTACAATGGATAAGAATCCCCCCTGCCAATGGAGGGGACACAGGATTCCTGGTCCAGATGATTCCACATGCCGCGGAGCAACCAAGCCTGAGAGTCAAAACGACTGAAACCCAGGCTGCTCCAACACGTGCTCTGCCACAAGAGAAGTCCCCACACCACAACTGGAAAAAGCCTGCAAACAGCAACAAAGGCCCAGTGCAGCCAAACTAAACCAAGACATTTTTAAAAAAAGAAATATCTATGATTGAACTGATTGGCCCTAGTATATATACTTTGAAAAGAGAGAAGTGTATGGGGCTGTGGATGGGACCCTATTGAGGCTGTTGGGTGCTCAGGACATGGGGTTCACTGCACTATTCTAATCTACTTCTCTACGTGTCCAAAGCTCTCCATAATGCAAAGTTCTGCTCTGTGTTAAAACCTTTATGTAAAGACAGGCCACTCATAACACACACGTGGAGAGTGCCCTCTGCAACTCCAGAGCCAGCATGTTGGGATGGGTTATTCCCAGTTCTGATTGGCTGTCTTCCACTTTGGGAAGGGGCCAGAGTAATCTCCTGGGTCAAGATGTGACTTTCCGGAGGCCTCAGGGCCTGGCAATATTGGAGATACAAAAACAGTAGGATAGGTAGATTCTCTGATACCAAAGAATACCTAAATCTTAGAACGAAGGTAGGTTAACTGGCAGTGATTTATGTTCCAAAAGGTTTGACCTAAAATATAGGAAACATTTTGGAAAATATCGCTTGGTTTACAAAAGTTGGCAATCCCATAGGATTGCATCTAATGCACAAAGCAGGTGAGATTTGCTGACTGGTCTCTGAGAAGTTCAGGTGCTTTTAAGAGCTGGTAACTGCATGGGAGAAATCTGAAGGACACACCAGCCCCAACGGACCACAAACAGCTAATGACTGTCTGCCTTTTCAAGCTTGTTTCTGCATCTTCACCTGACCACCCTTCCCCTCCCACCTTGGCCAACGCCACCAACAGCGGGTCCCAGACACTCCATTCCCAGGAAAGTTTCTGCTGCTGGAAAAAACCCCAGAAGAGCCTGTGGGGAATGTCCTCCATAGATGCCCCCACCGCCTTGCCCAATCTGGATGGCAAGGCAGCCTCCCACATCTCCCAGGACTGAAATTCTGACTTGTCCAGGACTCTTGGGGCCAAACCACCCATGCAGCTGGATACATACACTTTGTAAGCACTGGTTTCCAACAGATAAATGTAATCAAGGTTTATGTGCACAGAGAAGACAACAGGATGGGATTGTTTCACTTGAAAGATCAGAAGAAAATTGTAACTAATGTTGTGGAAAATTACTTTGATATTGCTTTCTTGGTACCGAATCACAATTAGGCTGCCGTGAGAAGTACAGGGGGAAGAATAAATGAATAGTAACAAATCAACACAAACAGCCTGTGTCAGGAACACTTTGCTCAGGGAAAGTAACGTAAGCATTACTTAAAGTTTTATGACTGTGTTTGAGGTGATTTACGTAGAACATACAGGTTCTATGTCCAGGTGGTCCGGCTCCATTTACAGCCAGAAGAAGGGAGCTCAAAACCCAAGTGTGCTCCTCACCTGGGTCTGCCAGTCCTCGCCATCCCCGGCTGCAGCAGGAGGCTCGCCTCCGCTTCCTGCCATCCAGTCTGCCAGTCTACCCACCCCAGAAACCCTCACTGTCCGCTGGGTCCCCACTCCACCAGTAATCGAGGTAATCCACACGTGTGTGCACCGCAATAGCTGTGCAAGGCCATGCCAGCTGGCAGGGACAGGAATCCACGACACAAGAGCCAAGGTCTCTGGGTTGTCAGCTGCTGCGGCATGGCAGGGCATGTGTCGCGGTCACCAGGCAGCGACCCCACTCAGGACTATCACACCGGTCCCCAGAAGACACCACGGATGGGCACGCGGCCCCATCCACACCACAGACACACTCGGTTCTTCTCTCCCAGGCTTGTCCCACAGAAAGCAGACACAGAACACAAGGACCCTCTGCCAACGTGTGCCTCATGCACGCACACACACCAAGACGGTACGGTTATCCCCAAGCCGCGTCCGTGAGGCCTCTGTTGGGAGCTCGCTCCCGCTCATACAACACACAACTGCGGAGAACAACTGTGAGTGCTCTGGGCGGCACAGCCCGTGCAGCTGGGCGCCGCTCACACAGTCGCCGGCCACTCTGGGGCCCACGTGAGGCTGCAAAGTCTCCACAGAGGGACCGGCTCAGTCACGGGTCTCTGCTTCCGCAGCTGGGAAGCAGCCAGACTCATCTTCGACAGCCACCTCCGTGGAGGGTCCGGCCCAAGCGTGAGTCAGCACCAGTGACTCACCACCGGCTCCAGGGGGTCTGCCCAGCGCTGGGCTGCCTCTCGCTGACGTTTAGGGATGAGCAAAGTGACTCTCCAGCCTCTCCCGCCAGGGCCTCCAACAGCAGCTGCCAGGCCCAGCTCTGGCCCCCTGCTCCTTCCACCTTTCCACGTGGCACCTATGGGCCCCCAGCCCGAGCTCAGGGTGGATGCAGGCTGCCCTGAGCATGTCAGCCGTGGCGGGCCCTGGGCCCTCCCCAGTCGGGGCCAGGGACCCCCTAACACTGTGTCCCACACTCCTGGGCTGTGGGCTGTAGGCAGGGATGGTGCGGGGGATCCCTCTGCCTAACCCTCCAGCCTCCACGCCCCTTTCCTTCTGTCCATGTCCGGGAGCCCAGGGGTGTCCAGTCATCAAGGACCCTCCCCTAACAAGGCCTCTGGGACCTCTGTTGTAAACACAGGTGCTTGGCCTGGCAACCTCACGTGATGCCAACGATTCCTGGCCTTGGCCCTCCAGGTCGGCCGTGCTCTCTGGGGCGCAGCCACGTCCCAGTCAGAGGGGCCCTGCCTGAGCGTCCCTCTCCACCTTCTGTCCACCCTGAGGCTCCGGGACCATCCTTCTTGCTCTCCCCTCACTGCCACCCCCACCTTTGAAAGTCCAGTGGACTGGGAGGCAGCAGGTGGGGAGGCCAGCAGGAGGCTCTTCAGCTTTACAAAGCCGGGAGGCACCGAGGCACCCCGACTTCCTCGCCCAGGCTGGAGAGGCTGAATCCGAGAGGTCCCCAGCACTGGGCAGAGAATCAGAGTCCCACTGGGGAGGCCTGTGCTCAGGGAGAAGTCACTTGTCCTCTGATATCCCCGACCATGTGGGAGAGGACCCGAGAGGTGGTGGGACTCTGAAATCTGAGTTTCACCAGAGGCAACGATCAGATGAGAGAGGGGCAGCCTGGCCATCCTTCCCAAGAGGAGTGCACGGGCCAGAGGTCAGAGGTCAGAGGCCAGAACCCTGTGGCTGGTGGCCTGACCGCAGATATAGTGCTCCCACACTGCGGCCGGTGACTGGAACCCCTGCCTTGGCCCTGGGGCAGCACGGAGGCCTGCAGCTCGGGCGGGATAGCCAGGTCAGGCAGGCGGCGGGGCCGAGCGCGAGGGCTCACCTGGCGCCTGGTGGGGGGCGAGCTCCGTGGGGTCCTGCAGGCTGATGAAGAGGAGGAGTCCTGCAGCTCCGAACAGCAGGATGGACGAGAACATGCAAGCCAGTCGCATCGTTCCTGCTCGCGGGGACATCCGGGGCTCGCTCCGGGGTCACCTCTTGGGTGCGGGAGGCGCGTTCTTCCCTCATTGTCCACACTGGGCGTCCATCAGGCCAGGTCTACGGAGCAGTGGGGGAGAAAGACGGCCCATCACTGAGGCCCAGGGTCCTGGCCACTGCTCGTGACCAAGTGGAGTCCCTGGACCCCTCCACCCTTACTCACATGTGTCCCTTTGACCTTCTCAAACCCAAGGAGGTAAAGGCTGGTCACCACCTGTGGCCGAGACACCAGCTTCCTGCCAGGGTCTCCTGTATCTGGACCTTTAGAAAAGCCACGGAGAGTGATACTCCCCAGCTCCCGCCCGGGGTGGGGGGACACCCTGGTGGGGACCCCTATCGCCCACAGCCAGAAGACAGTGGCCACCCCCTGCACTGTTCAGGCAGAAATCCGGGTCCCTGTGGCCCACAACTGGCCCAGCAGAAACAGAAGCTCTTGGGTCTGTCTCTGCCTTGGCTCCCGTCTACAGGATGCTGGGGACAAGGGTCTCCATAGAACCAGCAGCTTTGAGAAGGCCCAGGCCCAGAGATGTCAGGGACTGAGTGACTCACCACTGCTCCAGCCAGACCTGTCCCTGCCCCTGACAGACGGAAGGATGAGCTGGGTGGAATCAAAGCCCTGCTGGATAGTTGCACCAACAGGGGCTGAAGTTCCAGCCAGGTCATGGTCATCCCAGCTCTCAAAGCTGTCTGGAGCTGAGATGGCATGGCCAGACCCAGATCTGACAGATCCCAGGCTCAGAGGCTGTGTCCCTGCAGAGGGACACCTGCTGCTCCGGCCACTGCAGACCCAGGCCATGCCCAGGTTGCTTGCCCCCATCCTCATTCCCCTTGAAGTAGAAGAAACGCCTGCCAAATATCCCGATGCCAACTAGTGACATCAGTTAGATCAGGCTATGGGTCAAGACGGGGGTACCCTGGGACTTCCCTGGTGGTCCAGTGGTTAGGATTTCGATCATCCACAGCAGGAGGCATGGGTTCAGTCCCTGGTCGGGAAAACTAGGGTCCCGTATGCCATGTGGCGTGGCTGAAAGAAAAAGATGACAGCCCCCCAAGGCCATCTGCCTAAAGGAAAGATGTAAGCTCCTGCACTGGGGGTAGGCTGGGGATGTGGCAGGGTGGTTCGAGCAAGCTATCACTTTTTCCCCTTATCTTCACCTGATCCTACCTACCTGGGTCCAGGGACATCATCCTTTTTCCACCTAAGGAGTCCTTTGGGAACATGCCCCTGCCTGGCACAGGACAGTGCCCGAGGAACACTGAGGCCAGGTGGGCTGTCCCCAGTAACCCCTGAGACACAGCAGGATGCTGATCAGGCCCCAGACCAGATGTGCCACTCAGCACAAGGATGGTCCCTGCTTGGAGTCTCCTTGGCTTGACATTCTGAACAGAGAACCCATCTCTGACCCGGCACCTAGGTTCTGGGGGAGGAAACCCCAGGTTTTGTCCCTCTGTATCCAACCTGAAGGTGGGGCATGAGGCAGGAAGTGATAACCAGAGAAACCCCACCCTCCCTTGCCCAAACACACATGCCCAAGGACTAGACAGTTCTCAGCAAGGCTCTGAGGCTGAGAGTTAAATTGCAGGTTTGGGTTTCTCCCCTCCGCAGTCTCTGTAATTATTTTTTCACTCAGTTAACTTTAATTAACCTGCCCCAGGCCTCCATGCACGGGAACGCGCCTGAATGCCAGGCTCTCTGGGCTGTGCGAGCAGGAGTTTCCCACGACCTCCCAGCTTTCATGTTTCGGAGGCAGTGCTGACCGGGCGCTGTTTGTCTCTGGCATTGACTCCAGGGTTCCAGCTGACCCTGACCTCCCTGCAACAGCCCCTCCTGCACCAGCCCCTCCCCCCAACACCCACTGCAGAGAAAGGTGGCTGCTTCCTGCCAAACAGGGATACCCCGCCTCCAGCTTGCAGTGGGTGAAAATGGGCAACATGTCCCCAAAGGCTCAGACCCCAAAGCCCCTCAGGGCCTGCAGCCTCTTTCTCCATGGTGGCCCCAGATGGGACCATCCTGGGGACCTGGCTCATCATTCCGAAAGACACAGGTGCAGGAGTGCAGGCCCCAGGCTCCAGGGAAGGACAAAGCCCACAGCACGCCCGATGGCCTGCGGTCTTCCAGGCCCCTCCCTCAGTGACGACAGGCCCTCTGTGCGGGACCCACAGGTTGATCCTATAAGCAAGGCCATGGCTATAAGGACACCCAGTTCATGCCGGCCAAGGTGTTAACATACTGCCTGCAGACGCACCAGCCTTCAGAGTGAGACACGAGGTCAGGAAACCAATCTGATCTAGGGTGAACCCCCAAATTAGGACATTTCTTAAGGTGGGGGAGAAGAAAGATGAGAGAAGGAAGGGAAGAAAGGATTGCAAGTTGATGGCCAGCAGACACAGTGGCCTGGTAAAGCAGCTAATAATGTGTTGCCCAATCTTGACCCAAAGACTATTTGATGAGAAAAAGGGACTCAAAGGCACATGTGATCATTATTGCACTGTTTGTATGGTGGCTGGCACTGCAGAAGTGACTAAAGAAGAGCTGGTCAGTTTCCTCTTCTTTCTAATCTGTCACACAGCCACCATTCAAGCCGGTACAGATTTCCCTCCTCCTCCAGCCACAACCTGTTCTCACTTGTTTCTGAACCAACCCAAACCAAGCCCACCAACTGGAGCCAGGCTTCCAGCAGCCCATGTGCCTGGAGCCAGGCTGAAGACCACATCCCTGACCCCAAATATGGGGAGAAGAGAACACAGCCCCAGAACCTGCACTTTCATGGTGGCAGGAGCATCAACCGTTCAAGCATCTCAGTTTAGAGACTCTCCCCGTGTGAGCCCCCAAGAGAATATAAACACTCTCTACACCCAGAGCCATGCGTGGCTTCCCCTGCCCAGACTTAGCTTCTAAGCCTCAGACCCCAGCATCCACCCCTGCACTGGGCCTTTCTCCCAGGGCTGGCTCTCACTGGAGACCATCTGATTAGCTAACTCCCTGTTTTGTGCAAATAGGAATCAAAGGTTAGCCTGCCTCCTCTCCCAGGGGAATGGTTTGCAGCCCGACTGAGTCTTCAAGGCCCCAGGAGGGAAAGAACAACATCACAGAATCTGTAGGAAACTCCTTCCTTTAAAAGGAGCCAGGTGAGAGATCACCAACAGACCATCAGACACTCCAGACAGAGGGTACATCTGATCCCCTACAGTCCCCATGACAGTCCTAGTCTTCAAAGTCACCTGTTATTTTCAAGGCCACAGGGAGATGCTGTCCAACGGCTGTCTCCCTATCCTGCAAGTTGAACTGCTGCCTGGGGAGTCAAGGCTGGGGGTGGGCTGCCCAGGACCCCACAAACACATCCACAAGCCCCCACTCCCAGCGGGACGGGTATAGGCTCAGCACGCCCTGCATCACAGTCTGATAATAAGTGAAGAACCTTCTCCTACTTCCCTTCTAAGACAAGAAGAAAATTCAAATGATGGAATGGAAGGGGGAGGGGGGAGGCAAGAAAAATAAACAGCCCATTGAGATTTCAGAAGGTCCTGCCCGCCTCACAGTTCCTAGCGCTCCCAGCGGCTTCTCTCCCTGAGGCCCCGAATGGCGTCACCAATTTTTACAGGAAGAAAGAGAAATCCAATTAATCTTGTAAACACCTCCTGGGACACAGGGCAGGGCCAAGGATTTCTCCTATTTCCTAATTTATCTGATTTAAAATTTTGTCTCTAGAAAATTCACTTCAGGGCACAAGCAAGGACTTGGGAATTCAGCCAAAACGCACGCACCTCCAGTGGCGAAGGGCCGGCAGGCAGACGGACGGACGGACGGCTCCAAGGACACACTTGGCTGCGGATGCTCCAAGGCCCGGATACTCCCCCAAGTCACCCAGAGGACCCCCTCAGGCTGTGGAGACCCACCCCTGTGCCCCACTGGAGGCAGGAGGAGGCGTCCAGCCTCGTGCCAGTGGGTGCACCCACTGGGTGTGCGGGCCCCGGGCCCGGGAAAGTTCTCCGTCCAGTCGTTTCCTCCTCGAACCGGCAGGAGTGAACAATGACGTCCCTCCTGGCTGAGGGCTCCAAGAGAAGCTGCTCATCGGGAGAGAGGCTGCTATGGCAACTTGAGGAGAATGGAGCCAGGCATTGCCGTCACCTTGAATCCGGCACCAAGCATTCCGCTACGGCAGCAGAGGGGGCCACGCTTCCAGCTCTGCCCCTACCGAGGCCGGCGCTGGGGCTGACCCACTGGCTTCCCTCCTCAGCCTCCTGGCCTCGGTAACTCATTTGCTCTTTGCTGAAACAAAGCGCACAGCCCAGTCCCCTGAGAACACCACCTCCATCTGTTTTGTCAGAGTTCTTTCCTGTGTTCGGCTCCTGCTTACTTCTGAGATGGGGTTCTTCTCGATTTCAGCTCATTAAAATCCTGCAGCTAATTAAAACTGCTCTAACGGCAGCGGCGGTGGCAGCCGCAAACTCTGGGACGAGTCCCTCCAGTTTTTATGCACAGGCATAAAGTTGCAATGCTCTGTGAGGATGACGGATGGCTGCAAAGGGCTCAAGACTCTGAGGCGGGGCTGCAGACGCCTGCCTCACCGCTGACACAGCGGAGCGCTGACCTGGGTCCTGAAATGGGCAGGGCCCAGCCTCGGCACACCCGGGCAGGCACGATTGCACCCCATTCCTGGGGGAAGCAATTTACTTGATAACCACTCCCTTGTTACAAAGCAGGGATTCCCTCCAATCTCCCATGCTGTCTGCAGGGAGAGAGAAAGGTGACCCTGAGGCGAAGGCCAAGGTACAAATCAGGTTCAAATAGCCCCAAACCTTGTCTCCACAGCCCCACTAGGAACACCAGAGCCCAGTTTCCCATCACTGCCCTTACAAAGAGGATGAAGGAAGGTGAAAACACACAGCCACGGCAGGAGGGTCCCGAGAGCCTGGCCAAGATGTCACAGGCTGCAGTGTCATCTTCGCTATTAGGAATAAACCACACTATGAGTATGATCTCTGTCCAGAACTTATATTTTTAGGGTACTTTATTACAGCAGAACAGGGTATGGAAAAATAAACCTACAGGTAAAAAA